GCTCCTTCTTCACATTTGGGAAGTTCTCTTCAATTATCTCTTTGAATATTTTCTCTGTTCCTACATCTCTCTCCTCTCCTTCTGGTATTCCTATAACTCTTATATTTCCTTTCCTCATGGAGTCCGATAGTTCCCGAAGTCTTTCTTCGTTCTTTTTCCTTCGTACTTCTCTTTCCTTCTCTGTTTTGGTTCTTTTTATTTCTGTGTCTTCAAGATTACTTATTCGTTCTTCCATTTCATCTATTCTGCTTTCATTGCTTTTCCCAGAATTCTTTAGTTCTTCCATTAATTCTTTGATCTCCTGCATTTCTTTTACTTCCCTCTTTAGGGACTCAATTTCTTTCTTCTGACCATTGTTTTCCCTCTCTAGGGACTCAATTGCATTCTTCTGATCGTTGATTATTTTTCCCTTATCATTGTTTTCCTTTATGACTTCTGTCAGTTTTTTAATCACGGCAATTTTAAATTCTCTTTCTGGAAGGCTCAGAAATTCTTCCAAGTTATTGTCGTTGCAATCTGGGGGCTGGCTTTCTTTTTGTGGTGTGCTTTTTCTCTGGAGAGTTGCTAGGTTGCGTGTGGTTCTTCTCCTCCCTACTGTCTGTTTTCTAATTTGCCGTATGCGTTGGGACACTGTGTTGTTGGGACTTGCCGGCATCTTGGGTGGGCTTCTCTGTTCCCCTCTGGTTCTTCCAGGAGTCATCTGTCAGTTTCAAGCAGCCTTTACTGGAGAAAGGTCCCTGTTCTAAAATGCCGATGTGGGGACACCCTCCCCTGTGCGCCTGGTCTGCCCCGGCGGTGGGTTCCTGCTCCCCTCTGGGCTTGGACTGCAGGCCAGAGGGGGTCTGGCGTGGGCGAACTTCCCCCGCTCACCTCTGGCTCCTGAGGAAGCCTTCTGCAGGTAGTCTTTACTGAAGAAATGTCCCTGTTCTAAAATGGTGATGTGGGACACACTCCCTGCGCTTCTGGTCTCAGGCACACTATTCTGCGCGCCTGGTCTGCCCCGGCTGTGGGTGCTCGCTCTCCCTGTGGGCTCAGACTACTTGTTCAGAAGGGGCCCGGTGTGGGCTAACACCCCAGCTGGCCACTAGCTCCTTCAGTAGCCTGTGCTGGGGTCAAGTCGCTAGGTGGCACCAGAGATCTCTCCTAGAGCCCTTGGGGAGCTGATTTTCCACCCCGTGGGACAGGGAGCAGAGCGGGGATGGTAGGGTACACCTCAACGGCTTTGGGGTGCTGTGTCTGCCTTGTGCCCCACCGTCGTGGGGAACCCACGCCCCTAATTTCGTGCCCCGGGTCTCAGTTCCAAAGCCCTCAGTTCCAGGACGCGGGCTGTAGCCCAGATCAGTGGCGCGGGAATGGCGCCTTTTGAATCCCGCTCCCCTGCCTGGGCGCCTTGTTCCTGCTCACTCAGGGAGGGCCTCCGCCCGGGTCTCAGTTCCAAAGCCCTCAGTTCCAGGACGCGGGCTGTAGCCCAGATCAGTGGCGTGGGAATGGCGCCTTTTGAATCCCGCTCCCCTGCCTGGGCGCCTTGTTCCTGCTCACTCAGGGAGGGCCTCCGCCCGGGTCTCAGTTCCAAAGCCCTCAGTTCCAGGACGCGGGCTATAGCCCAGATCAGTGGCGCGGGAATGGCGCCTTTTGAATCCCGCTCCCCTGCCTGGGCACCTTGTTCCTGCTCACTCAGGGAGGGCCTCCGCCGTCTCCCCGCCAGCCTAGGTCGCAGGCGCAGGGCCCTGGGCAGCTGCAATCCGAGCGCCGCTTTCGCGCAAGCTTACCGGGCGGCTGGGGCTGTGTGCTGGTGCTGGGCTCCTCCTGGTGGGCGGGGCTCTCTTTACTGGCGCCTGGAGCTCACCTCCGCGGTGGATCCTGCAGGGTTCGCCTCAGCTCCCGTTCACGGGGTGTGGTGGCTGAAATAGTTCCTTTCCACTCACAGTCCCACTTGCTGCATCCGTTTTTCTTGTTGGGCGTTTTAGTTTGTTGTTTCCCTCGTCTCTGCGGGTCGGAGAGTGCCGCCTCTGTGGGCGGGGGAGGGGAGCAGGGTTCTGCGCTTCCCTCCCTTCTCGTCCTCTTTTATGGCAACTTTCTTCTTCGGGCAGTTTGCTGGAGTCGTCCGTTTATCTTCCCTGTCTCAGTTCTCACTGGGACCTGCCGCTTTTCCTCCCTATTAACTTTTTTTAATGGGAGATCTTACTCGCAGCGTCTCCTCGCCGCCATGTTGCTCCGCCCCTTCCAGACCTTACATTCTTGAAAGGTCTCAAATTGACATGTTGACCTTTTCTGAAAATGAAATAGTAAATGTGGTCACAGACATACACTGACAGTAATGAAATAAGAATTCCTGGCTTACTATACAACTTAAATTTGCATCGTGTTACCACACCATACTGCAGTTTGAATAAACAAGTTGGCTTTTTAGGAATCATTTTTGTTTGTACCAATATCAGATTGAAACATTCCAATTACAATAAAAAGGATGAGAAAGAACACTGCTATGCAGATGTTGACATTTTGCTGCATTTGTTCTCCATTTCTTTTTAGTCAGGTTCATTGAAGGATAATTTATATAGAGTATATGTTTTTTGGTGCACAGTTTTTTATATGCACATAGCCACACATTTCTTGATATACAGGTTTTTCTTTTTTTTAATGACTTATTTATTTTTATTTTTCCATAGAAGAACTGGGGTGTAGCCAGAGGTGCATGGTGGGGGGGTGAGAGGAGTCACCAGAGACAGAGTGGGTAGCAGAACTGGTGGATTTAATGAAATACACTGCTGAGGGGAATAGTGGGCGAGAAAAGAGAGGTCAGCTCCACCATGTGGGTCAGCTCCCTGGCAGAGAATCAAATTCAAACCATAGCAGTGAGAGCGCTGACTTAACCCCTAGGCCCCTATACAGGTTTTTCTTATGATTCCATGTAAATAAAGGTTTGGGCACAGTATTATGAGTTTTAAACAAAACATACAATCGTGTCATCACAATCACAGTCAAGGCACAGAACAAAGTTACCACCCCAGAAAGTACCCTCCTGCCCTTTATAGTCAACTCCTCCCACCATCTCTGCCCCTAAAGACAGTGATTTTTTAACTAGTTCTGGCCTTGATCTCTAAGCCTATGATAGGCCTAGCTTCTTTCACTTAACTCAGTGCCTTTGAGATTCATTCAGGTTGTATCAACAGTCAATTCCTTTTACAATTATTATGATTGTGGCAAACAACTAGTAACATTAAACATACCATGTTAATCATTTTTAAGTGCATAGTTCAGTAGCATTGTTTTCACACTGTAGTAGGACAGATCTCTAGAACTTTTTCATCTTAATCTTTATTTTTTTAAAGATTTAGTATTTATTTATACAAGAACTGGGGTACAGTCAGAGGCACGGGAGGGTGAGAGAATTCACCAGAGACAGAGTGGGGAGCAGAACAGGCAGATGAACCAAAGACACTGCTGAGGGGAGCAGTGGGCGAGGCAGGAGAGGTCTGCCTTGCCAACTTTTTCATCTTAAAATAGTGACACATACCCACTAAGCAATAATACCTCCCTCTCCCCAGTCCTTAGTAGCCACCCTTCTATCTTCTGTTTCTGATTAACTATTTAGATATTTCATGAGTGGAGTCACATGGTATTTGTCCTTTAGTGACTGGTTTATTTCACTTAACATAATGTCCTCAAGGTTCACGTGATAAGATTCCTTCCTTTATATGGCTGCCTAATACTCCATTGTGTGTATACATCCTATTTTCTTTATCCATTCATCTGCTGATAGACCCAGATTGCTTTCACCTTTTTTGCCCTTGTGAGTGATGCTGCGAGGAACATGAGTGTGCAAATTGCTCTTCACAGACCCTGCTTTGAAATTTTGGAGATACATACTAGAAATGGGATTTCTGGATCATATCATGTATGATTCTATTTTAAGCTATTTAGGAATCTCCAGACTGTTTCCCATAATGGCTACACATTTTTACATTCCCATCAACAGTGCACAAGAGATCCAGCTTCTGCACATCCTCACCAACACTTGTTATTGTCTGTTCTTTTGATAGTGGCCATCTTGGTGGGTATGAAGTTTCGATTTGCATTTTACTAGTGATTAGTGATAGTGAGCATCTTCTGCTTATTGGCCATTTTTTATCTTCTTTGGAGAAATGTCTATTCAAATTCTTTGCCCATTTTTCTAGTTGGGATTCTTTTTGGTGGTGTTCCTGAGGAGAAGTTCCTTATGTATTCTGGATAAGCTATATGAATTTCAGTTATTTTCCTCTGTTCCATAGGTTGCCTTATCACTCTGCTGATTGTTTCCTTTGACACACAGAAGTTTTAAAGTTTGATAGAACCCTTTTGTTGTCTGTGCATTTTGGTTCATATCCAAGAACTCACTGCCAAAGCCAATGTCCTGACACTTTCCTCCCAAGTTTTTTTTCTAGGACCTTAACAGATTTAGGTCTTTATCCATTTTGAGTTAATTTTTGTATGTGGCATAAGGGAATGGTCCAGCTTTATTCCTTTGCTGTGTTTATCTGGTTTTCCCAGCACCATTTGTTAAAGAGACTGTCCTTTCCCCTAGTGTGTCAGCTTTGCACCCTTGTCAAAAATCATGTGGCCATTTATGCAAAATCATGTGACTATATATGCAAGGTTTGTTATATTTCACAAGTTTATTCCATTCTATTGCTTATGAGTATTTCATAATGTTAATACATGATTTCTTCATCTGTTTACCAGTTGAAATAATTTGGGTATCTCCAGGTTTTGACAATTACACATAAAGTCAGCATCAACAGTCACATGCAGGCTTTGTGTGAACACACAGCTTCATTTCAAATCTCATGTCCACTAATGAGATATGGTGGATATATGCTGAATTTTATAAGAAACTGCCCAACTTTTTTCTGCACATTTTATCCATTTTGCTTTCCTACCAGCCACGCATGAAACAAAGTTCAGTTGTTTGCATGCTTATGAGAAATGGCCGTGCTCAGTTTTATTTTCATTTTCATTTTCAGCTATTCTAATGACAATGTGGTGGGAGCTTGTGGTGGTTTTATTAGTTGGCTTTTGATCAATCGAATCACCTTGTAATGGCACATTTACCTTGCACTTTAATCTTGGGGGTACCAAAAGCATTTTAAGTGAAAAATCATTCATTTTTCTGTAAACAAGTCACCTCAAAAAAATGGAAGTGAGCAGCCCGCTTGCTCCCAGCAAGAGGCACTGCCCTTTCCTCCCTCACTTCTGTTTCTGTGGTGGTATCATAAACATGTTTTCACCGTGTCCTCGAGAACTGTAGGTAGTTCTGCTTTTAGTCACCCAGTATTGGCAGCCTGGCAGTGAATTCTTCTTGAGGCCCAAACCTGCTTCATTCAGCCCTGTCACCGGTCAAGCATTTTTGTGACATCTGGTTTCAAAGCATATAAGGTTTGTTAATCCAGATTTCTTGGAAGGAATGTGAACACAGAAAAGCACACACAAAGGAGGGTAAGCCTAGGTCAAAAGCATCAACCTCATAGCTTAAAACATGTCTGCTGGTGGCGCAGGCAGTTGAGCCCTGCACTGTGAAGCTGTCCGCAGCCTCTGCAGTGCAGGTTCGATCCTGGCCGGCCAGCGAGAATCCCACCAGCGTGGCAGACCTCTCCTGTCTTGCCCACTGCTCCCCTCAGCAGCGTATTTCATCAGTCTGCCTATTCTGTTCCCCACTCTGTCTCTGGTGAATCTTCTCACCCTCCTGCACCTCTGGCCTGCACCCCAGCACTTGCATATATAAAAAATAAATCTTAAAAAAAAAACATGTCTCCTGGGCCACAATTCGAGCCCTTGGCCTGATACAGTTAGGAAGACAGTGAAAAACCTGGAATGTCCTGGAAACTTCAGAATTAGTATTGTAGCCATTGTTATGGAAATTCTGGGTGGAATGGACCCTCATCCAAACCCCCAGAGTCCGAAAGTCTCTACATTATTGTCAATATATTGGAGCTTAGGGGTAGATGACCCAAGGAGAAAAGATGAAATTTATCTTGTTCTGTTGGGACAGAGACTCAAACTGATACTTCCTTTTATTTATTTTTTTTAAGATAATTTCTAAATTCCTTAAAACATACAATGAAAGTTCTTTCTCTCTGAAGCCATCTACAGGTTCTTCCTCAGAAGGAAGTTACGAAATTATGATATATTTTAACTTCTGTCCTTACCCCAGGAGAATCAGCCAAAATGCTGTCCCTTAACATATTTCCTACAGGAAACAAGCAACTGGTAATTTTAAGAGTTTCTGGGGAGGAAGTAGAAAGGAGTCACTCATCAGTGAATGGTACAGGCTTTACTTTTCCATTAAAAGTTATTTTTCAGGGCCTTCCTGGTGGTGCAAGGGGTTAAGCACAGCACTATGAAGCTATCTACAGCCTCTGCAGCACGAGTTCGATCCCCAGCCAGGGAGCTGACCCACATGGCGCAGCAGACCTCTTCTGACTCGCCCGCTGCTCCCCTCAGCAGTGTATTTCAGTCAGTCTGCCTGTTCTGCTCCCCACTCTGTCTCTGGTGAATCCCCTCACCCCCCACACCTCTGGCCTGTATCCCAGTTCTTGTATGCATAAATAAAATAAATGATTTAAAAAAAGTTATTTTTCAACTGTAATCACCATTTTAAAATTATCATTGAGACATTTTACATACTTTTCCTTCCCCTAAGTCGTTGTGATCGTGGCTGACACTTAGAGCACATCTCAATTTGGACAGACATTTCCAGAGCTCAGTAACCACAAGTGGCCAACGGGTCCTCTGCTGGGCAGTGCAGGCCTAGATCCACTGATTCATTGGAGCTGTGAATGGTCATAGTTTGCAGCTATCACTCTTCATCTATTAATTGAATGGTGACAATGAAACAGATTTATCCCAGACTAGTCTTTTTTCAAAATTTGTCTGCCTCCTGGATGGGATCAGAACAGAAAGAGAAACTTCTGCATCAATTATTTGTTTGCCCAGAGGACAATTGGTATGGTAAAGCCTCGATAAATACTTGGAGTTTTCCATTTATTTACCAAGTTTCAGAATAATTAGTTGGTTCCTTAGCATTCTGGAAAAGTGCCTGGTGAGAAGGGTTTTTTAAGTGCCATTATAAACCTAAGGCTTTAAATTTATTTGATAAGTTTCAATTTACTGCCTTTTTTTAAAAGATTGATTTATTTATGCACATAAGAACTGGGGTACAGGCCAGAGGTGTGGGGGGCGGGTGTGTGAGAGGATTCACCAGAGACAGAGTGGGGAACAAAACAGGCAGATTGACTGAAATACAATGCTGAGGGGAGCAGCAGGTAAGTCAAGTGTGCTGTTCCATATGGGTAGCTCTCTGGCCAGGGATTGAACTTGTGCTGCAGTGGCTGTGGATAGCTTCACAGGTTGCATCTTAACCCCTTGCACCACCAGGGAGGCCCGATTTACTGCCTTTTTAAAAAATCTTTATTTATGCTCACCTCGTCCAATGTTTGGCCAATTGGAGTTTTTTCACATTGATTCATGAGACCTTTAAATATAATCCTAGCAATTTTTTAAAACAGCATCCTTGATGTCTGGTGTGGAAAAAAAAAAAAAAAACGATTCCATGATCACCTCCTATATTTCTTACCTGGACTCAACCATTTCTCCTAGGAGTCCTATTCCCTTTCATTGGAAAGGGTATCGGAGACCACAATCTGGGCACTACAGATAATCTTTGCTCCTAGTTTACTGATGAAATTCAAGATGTCCCATTCAATTTGAATTTTGGGCAATTTTTTTTAGTGTAAGTCTCAATGTGTGGGGCAAGTTACACTAAAACATTTCTTTTGCTTATCTGACATTCAGATTTAACTGGATAACCTCTATTTTTAGTTGCAAAATCTGACAGATACTTAGTTATTTCTAGGATGTTTTAGTGGCTAGAACTAAGAAATATGTATTCTTTAAAAGTAAAGTCTACTACCCTGAGACTGGCAATTAAAAATCAGGATGATAGTAGTTTACTTAACCATGTTGATCTTATATATGTATCTCCTTTCTCCCAAACCATAAATATTGATGTTCAACAACTCCCACACATTTATTTGCTTTATCCTAAAATACACATTTACCATAGTGCTAAATCCCAGAATAACAATACCAATTCCACTAGCAAATGTGATTATTAAAACAAAAATTAGCCATATGGGGCCTCCCCGGTGGCACAGCGGATGAGCGTTGGGTTGTGAAGCTGCCCACGGCCTCTGCAGCGCCGGTTCGATCCCCAGCTGCTCCCCGGCTGCTCCCCGGCTGCTCCCCGGCTGCTCCCCGGCTGATCCCCGGCTGATCCCTGGCCACCGGAGGAGGGTCCCACATGGCGCGCAGACCTCTCCTGCCACCTGCTGCTCCTCTCAGCGGTGTATTTCGTCAGTCTGCCTGTTCTGTTCCCTGCTCTGGCTCTGGTGAATTCTCTCACCCTCCCGCGCTTCTGACTGTACCCAGTGCTTGTATCAATAAATAAAAATAAATCTTTAAAAAAAATTAGCCATATGCTTTCATTGAATTCCTCTGCTGTTAGTAACAGCCCCACCTCCACTCTTTTCTCTGACTTTTATGTCTAAACCACCTGGAGTTGGTTGCTTCAACTTCTCTGAAGAATAAACATCTAATCTCCTGCAGGGATTGAGGTACGGAGTCATAGGAGAGGCATTTGGTGTTAACAACTCTTAGTGTTTCATTAATGTTTCATTAATGATCTGCTTTGGGCCCCACCTACTCAAAGGTACAGGGATCTTGGGCTGCTGCTCCTTTGTGGGCACCCATGTACTTGCTACACCCTTCTCCTCCTGCAAGTTCTAGGGTTTCTCCACTGAGTTAAATCATCCATCCACTTCTGTCTTAAGGATCTGACAACTCTACACAGCAATAATCTTCTCTTCCATCCTCTGGGATTACACAGTTTTGATTATTTGTGTAGCAGTTCAGTAGTGTTTCAGGAGCAAGAAGAGATGGCTGCGTGGGTACAGTCTGCCAAGCATCTATTTCATTTTCAAGCATCCTCCACCTCAGGTAGAGAGAGACAGGATAGCAGGATGATTGAAAGGACACGTTCTGGTATCAAGTGTTTGGGTTCAAATCACTATTCTGCCACTTGCTAGCTGCGTAACCTCCATCATGTCTGCTGTTCTCAGACTCATTTATAAAATGGGGATGCCCATCATCAAATTGTGTGTGTGGCATGGCACTGGGTGCTTAAGAAACATGGCAAAGGCTGAAAATGCTATTAAAGAAAGGGTGCAGGATACCTTAGTTAGAAATAACAAAAAGATATTCTGTCTAAAGTTAAAAGAGAAAAATTAATTCCCTTAAGCTGTTTTCCTGAGGGCTGTGCTGTTCAGACTCTTGCAGTTTTACTTTTTTCCGGCAGGTGGCAGCCTTTGTCACCAAAACTTTGTTCCTCACTTGGAACTGACCCTGAGAAGGAGGGGGAAAAAACCCTCTATTCTTTCCTGGTTCCTTACTGAGCACCAACTTTGTGCCAGGGGAGCATCAGTGCTCAATCCTACAGTCTCTGAATTTACGATTTGCAACAGCTCTGGAATGTAGTTCAAATAAATTGAGAGGGCCTCCCCAGAAAACCTCCAGGCGAAGGTACTACTGTAGTATGGGACGCAAGCTCTGGCCAGAGTCCTCACCCTAAGCAAAAATGATGCTGCAAAAGACATTACTTAAGGGCAAACTCTTTTTCAAGTCTGTTTGCAATTTAAAGCAGGTTTTCACAAACTATACTCTTACAGAAAAGGATAGGGAGGCCTGGGGCTTTGAGATTGTCTCCAATGCAGAAGGGGGTATTGGGTGTTAGCGTGAGGTAAAAGGAGGGATATAAGATGTAGGATTTATAGGCCAGCAATACTAGCTCTCAAAATATTTCCCAATTTTTAAGTGAAACAGCTCCTTTTTAAGAAAGATCATGCAAAATTTGGTAACAAGACCAAGAGAGGGTGGCGTAGTTCTTTTATGTCACCTAGGACACTGTTTAACAACCACACCCAATGAATCATTCTCCAGCAGGGGTCGGTCCAGATAATATTATCTGTAAAGGTCCAGATAGTAAATAGTTTGGGCTTTCAGGCTATTTGCTGTCAACCATTCGACTGTGTCGTCCCAGGACTCTGACACAGTAGAACAAGAGCCACCTTAGACCATGTGTAAACACATGGATGTGGTCACGTTCCCAGTAAAACTTTATTGTAAACACAAACAGCAGAGCTGGTTAGGTCCACTGGCCGTAAGGGTAGGCGGGGAGTTATAACTTTGCCCAGCTATTCCCTATTGAATAAAGGCTCAAATTTTTGTCCTTTAGAATAAGTTTTGATTTCTCTCTTTTCAGTGCCAAAGAGAACCCAAAAGTTGACAGCTTTTATTACCCCATGGAGATTAACCAGTTTTTTAATCTCACCAAGTTTCCTACTTCCTCAAATATGTGCTTCCTCAAAACACTCTCTGAACCTTCTTGCTTTACCATCCTGTTATTTCCTCTTTAACAGGTTGAACAAATTTTTGATGTGCTCATTTTGTCTTTGAATGAGTCATGTTTTAACTTAGGACATTGTTGCTGGTTATGCTTTTGTTGTTTAGCACCCACTCCCATACCCATGGTTTCCTTAATTACCTCTTCGTATATCTGCTGGACACTTGGATTTTCTTATCTGACTGTGACTTGTCAAAAGATAAAGTGAGGCATATGAAAAATTTTAAACATTTATTTGAGCAACAATCAATTCAAATCTGGCAGTGTCTACTGGCAGTGGTAAGGAGGGCTTCCCTGACAGGAGCTGGGGCAAGATTATTACAGAGAAGACAAGAAAGAAAGCAAGGAAATGATTTTGATTGGCGAGAGCTTAAATGGCTGCCTTGGGATAGCCTCAGTGGCTGTTCCTGAAGGATTGTCGTTTGGTTTCCATTTCTTTTTTTTTAAAAAGATTTATTTATTTATGCATACAAGAACTGGGGTGTAAGCCAGAGTTGCAGGGGGTGAGGGGATTCACCAGAGAGAGTGGGGAGCAGAACAGGCAGATCTATTGAAATACACTGCTGAGGGGAGCAGCAGGCAGACAGGAGAGGTCTGCTGCACCATGTGGGTAGCTCCCTGGCCGAGGATGGAACTCATGCTGCAGTGGCTGCGCATAACTTCATGGTGCTGTGCTCAACCCCCTGTGCCACCAGAGAGGCCCCCGGTTTCCATTTCTTAACCTTGAGGCATTTATAGGCTTAGGTTTTGGTTTATTTACAGAGACTGTTAAGACATTCAATCATCTCAAGTCTATTGGTATTTTTTAAAAAATATGTTTCCTTCTTTTTTCTTTCCTATCAAGTTGTTTATTTTTCTTTATTAACATGAAGGCGTTCTTTATATACTTTGGATACTAATCCTTTCTTGGCTTTCTGCATTATAAATACCTTCTCCCGGCTGTGGCTTATCTATGTATTTTTTAACGCTGTCTTTTGTTGTGCAAACGACCTAGCCTGAAAAATTAATTGTGGTAAAATATGCATACCATTTCAAACACCATGTTTAAGTGTATGGTTCAGTGACACTAGGTGAATCCACACTGTTGTACAACCATCACCACAATCCATCTCCACAACTCTTCATCTTGCCAAACTGAAGCCTGGACACATCCAGCCTCTGGCAACCACCATCTTACTTTCTATCTCTGAATTTGACTCAGCCTGAACCACTAGGTATCTCATGTAAGCACAATCATAAAGTCTTTGTTTTTTGGTGTCTATCACATTTCACTTAGTATTGTGTCTGCAAGATTCATTTACATTGTAGCATGTGTCAGAGTTTCCTTTTTTTAGGCTGAATAGTATTCCACTGCATGAACACTGCGCACTTTGTTTATAAATTCATCAAAGGACACTTGGGTTGTTTCTACCTTTAGGCTACTGTGAATAATGTTCTATGACAATGGGTGTGCAAATATCTTTTCTGGTAGCATGACAGAAGCATATTAAAAAAAAAAAAAACCTAGTTCCTCCTTGACTTCCTGAGCAAACCTGTTTCCCAGAGACAAAGGCACAAAGCTTAATTACTGCTGTCTTAGCTTTGGGGTTTCAATAGCTTTCTCTATCTCAATCCACAAAGAAACATATCTCTTAGATTATAAGGATCTTGTTTTGTTTTTTGTTGGTTTTTTTTTTGTTTTGTTTTCATTAATAAAATATACTTTCATGGGTAAAGTCAGAATGAAGCCTCCTCAAATCTAAAGTCATAGGTGAGGCTTATGCAATTAACAAATCAGAGCCAACCTGGGATTCAGGAGCAGGGTGAACCCTACAAGTATGTACAAGTTGAATGGAATCAGGAGGCCAGTCCCTCCAGGAGTCCTTTCCTGGCTCAGCTCTGAACCCCCTAAAGAAAACAGGTTTGGGGCTGCTAACTTGGAGGCATCCACGTACCCTGTGTTCACACTGTAAAAAGGCTACGATCTCGAAAGGTCCCTCTGTCAACACTGTAGAATTTAGCTGTGTTTGCTCTTTCGAGTCCAACCAAAACCTTTGCTTAAAGATGTAAAACAAAAAGCAAAACTTCTACCCACAAAGGCTACACATTTGTAAGCTAAAGCTCTGCCCTCTTTAAGGGGAACATTCCCTGGGACAGAAAGGTTTTTTTCCCCAATAATCTAATCCCTGTCCCAGCCACCTGTGGAGGTCAAAGCTGTGCTCGCTTGGGTACGGTCAGGGCCAGCCCCAGAGGCCCTTGGACCCAAGCTCCTGCCAGTTAAAATCTTGCTGAACAACTGTAGCTGTCATCAACTGCCCAGGTCAAGAATCCACTTGACTCACAACTACTTTTAAGCCTAGAGCCCTGAGGGCACCAGACACTTGCTCTCCAGTGGTGTGATGTTAGCCTCCAAATACAAGTCCTGGCGCCTGCCCCTCAAAGCTTCTAAAGAGAAAATGGACATGTTGGGGGTGGTGGGGTGATCATCAATGACCCCCTCTCAGACTTCTCAATTCTAAACCCACTGAGAAGCAGTTATGGGAGCTCACAAGATGTAGAAAACACTGCCCTGCTGTGCACAGACGTCTCCTTGGGACTGCAAGGAGCCAGTCACGGGCTGGGGTGCTGCAAGTCTCCTCCAGAGGGACAGGCTCCCCACGCTGGCTGGGGAAACAGGAGTCCAATGCACAGGCCACAGAGAGGGGGCAGGGAGAAAGGGACTGGGCCACATGCTCAGCACTCACCCCTCACACCCACTCTCCCCTTGGGAGGTACAAAAGGAAGCCTTCACAAGTTTTCCTGCAGCGGTTTTGCTGCTGAGCAGAGGCGGTTCCTTTGCTATGTAAATAAGCAGAGGATATATTGTAACCATTGCCTATGCTTTGGGGCTTTATTTTTGATTCAATAGCGGTAGCCATGGTACCTGGATCACATGATGTGTCTGTCAGGATCCACTGCCTTGCAAGTCAAATTCAAAGTGACTTAAAAACAATAGTGTCCCAAGCAAATTGACATGCGTTGGCAGGTTGATCCTCACTTCAGGCAAAACTGAATCCAGAGGCTTGAGCGATGTCACTAGGCCTCTGGTTCTTACCATCTCTCGGCTCAGCTTCTCCCAGAGTTACCTTCATTCTCAGGCTAGATCAGTCCCGAATTGGGCCACCTCCAGCTCCAAGCTTGTGTTCTACCAGCTTAGAAATGTGGGTGAAAATTTCTCTTTCTTTATACTTACAGCAAAATTCCATAGTGGAGTTGCTTGCCTTCTCTATGGGCCACTTGTGACCAGAGAATGCAATGCTCTGATTGGCAGGCCTTGCGTCACGTGTCCATCATCAGTCCAGTTCCACCCAAACTGCAATTACCATGTGGGTGTTGCTTTTTCCTCCAAAGAAAATCAAAGTAGTATTATCAGTGAATGGGGAGAGTGTATTCTATCAATGGGTGGAAAAATATAAGCAGCCCAGCCAGACAAAGGAAGCACCATTGGCTGAGAGGGCCACCTCTCCAGGTCAGCCACACTCAGCCCTTCAGCTTCCTCCAGGGAGAAATGTCACTTGCCCCGCTTTCCTCGGCTGTATAATTGTAACTTGCTTGTTCTCTGTGATCGCTGAGATTATTTTAATCAACAGCATTCACTTATTAAGCATGTATTTAGCATCTATTATATGCCAGGTGCTCTTCTGGACACTGGAGATAAACTAGTGTATAAAATAGGCAAAACCCTCTATTTTCAGAGCTCATCCATTATAGACAGGGAGTCCTGTCTATAAAAGGAGTCCTATGGGCCGAGAAGAAAAATGCAGATGGGATTGTTGGGTGATTGTGTGTGTACATGGCTGCTCAGGGCAGAGGATGAAGACAAATCCATGGTAAGTACAGAATCTCCAAGTATGGTATCCGCTGTTCTTACTCTTATTGCTATCCTTATTATCACTGCATTATTTTAAGATTTGCTGGTTTTATTATTATTATTATTATTATAGGCACATAAAAGCCTGTTTAGTGACCCCTTGGTGTCTCCAGCATTAAATACCCTAAACTTAGCATGTAAGTCCCTCTGCAATAGAACCTAAGTTGTTTTTGTAAGTTGGGATGTGATTTATACACCATAGTGTGCAATTCAACTTCATGGTGTGTGTATAGATGGGGCGACCATCCCTACTACCTAATTCCAGAACATTTTCCTCACCCCAGAAAGAAACCCCACACCCATTATCAGTCACTTCCCAGCCCCCCTGACCCCAGCCTCTGGCCACAATTAATCTCTCCCAGGGTCGAGGGGCTTGCATGCTCTGGGCATGTCCCTTGGACAGCATAGCATGACCATAATATGTGGTCTTTCAAGACTCGTTTCTCTGACTTAGGGGCATGCCTTCAAGGTTCACCCCGGTGGAGGCACATCAGTACTGGATTCACCTTTATAGCCCACTAGACCCTAAATGATTTTCCTTGCCTCTTTTCTCATTATTCCTCATTCAGCCCCTAAGGTGAGCTCACTGGGCTGCTCGTTTGTCTTCTATCACACTGCCTTTGTAGAGTTTCCATTTCTTCCTCTTGGAATAAGATACCCCTCCCACCAGGCCTCTGTCCATTCAGGTGACTCACAAATGTCACCTCGTCATGAGTGTCCCCCCACCCCACGGGTCTTATTTCTCCTCCCCAAGCTCCTTTATTTCAACAAACAGAGCTTATTTTCTCTACATATTTACTCAACTTTAGCCCCCCCACTTCACCATGACAGCCACGCAGGCCCCAGCTAACTTGTTTTAATCCTTAGCCTGACGCCTTGCATATCACACGTCACCAGATTTGCATGACATTGGTATAGCCCAGTGGTTCTAAACTGGGGACAGTTTTGCCCCCCAGGGAACATTTGGCAGTATCTGAAGACTTTTTTGCTTGTCCCAACTAGGGGATGAAGTGTGCTACCGGCGTCCAGTGGATAGGGTGGGATTCTACTGAGTTCCTTCCACAGCACAGCGCCCTCCCCCCCCCACTACCACCCCAGCAAACAATGATCTGAGCCAAATGCCACTGGTGCCAAGATTGAGAAACCTTGCCATAAGCTCATTAGTGCTCCTTTTGAATAGGTTAGCAAGAAGAAGCAGAAGAGATTAGTGTACTAGCCTGGCAGAAAAGCTCACTAGGGAATTTTATTTTCTTATTTTAGGAGCTGAGGGGTGACTGTAGCGCAAAGCTCTTTCCTAATGCCACAGAGGTGCCCTAGGAACCCAGATGGTATTTTCCCCACTGGTCGCCTCTGAGAGTGATGACTGACCTCCCCGGAATCCTTGAAGTGCTAGGAATGTAACTCTGTTAAGGAAGAAAACTCTTAGGGCTTTTTAAGTCTAGTAAAATGTCAAAAGTGAACTGTGGTCCTGGGGGACGGCAGGGAAAGTTGTTTTTTTCCAAAGTACTCTCTCCTTGACGCCTCCGAGAGGGTAAAACTTTGCAGAGCTGGCTCTGGAATAAATGATTCAAAGGCACCCGAGGCTCTATCTCCTCTCTTTTCCGAAAAGGGCAAAAGAGCTTTTAGAAAAGATTCTGTTCAAATTGCGCTCAGGGAGCAACTCATTTGCAGGAAACTCAAGACCCACGTATTGTTTTAACTGAGAACGCAGCAGCCCCATCAAAACAGAGGTTATCAGCTTCAGAGTCACATCTCATGTTCCTGCTCATCCCAACCAAGTAGTTCTTGTGTGTGACACTGAAATTAGGTAATATATGCACTGAAAATGAAAGGGAGAAGTAGTATGAAGAGAGTTTGGTGAGGTCAGGAATAGGGGTTGACATGCTATTTTAAAAAGTTTGTCCTTGGTGTAGAATTACCTGCCGCCCTGGCTGGAATTTGGTGGTGGTGTGTGTGCCTGAAAGAACAACCTTTAGCACAGCTGGCATAGACATAAATGCCAAGCAGAGGATTCTCCACGCTCCACCCCCTCCTCTGGAAGCATTCCAATTCTTGTGGACCATAAAGAAATAGCAGGCATGGTTGCTCTATTGGAATAGCTATATCTTTTATCCAGTAAATTAACTTTTCAGGTGTCTACCTATCTGACAAAATGCCACTTATTATGTGAAGTGGTTTGTTCAGTCTAATTTTGATGAAAGCCCTAAGGACAGAAACATATAGAGTAGTTGGCATACTGTGAATCATGAAAGTGTTTTAATGATGACAGCAATTAGGATAACGGAATAATGTGCTCTGAGTGGATCGTTGGCAGGACTTTAGATGCAGTGAGAAAGGTATGGAAAAGAATCGTTTAAAGAACAAGCTGGGAGTCCCAGGAAATATTACAGTTCTGTTGAAAGTGAACTGGAAAAGGACCAAAGCTCCTGGGTAATATTTATCTTTCAGTAAAACTAAATTGGATCACTTGCCTCAAATCTCAATTTTCTTTTATTTGTGAACCCCATTCAGGCACTCATTCCTTTATTCCAACTAGCATTATTGAAAAATATTGTTCATGGTTCCTATTCAATTATTCCTTCTTTTGTGCAAACATTTACAAACTCCCCTACTGTGTGCCAAGCATTGCGTACGATTCTAAGACTACAATGACAAATGGTCCTTGCCCTGGGGAAGCTTAGGGTGTAGTGAAATACTCATTCTTTCATTCATTTCCTAAGGCATTTACTGTGTGCCTGTATGTTCTGCAGATACAGCAACAAAGAACACGAGACCTTCAGATAATGGGATGACATTCTAATGGGGAGAGGGAAGAGCCAGAACAAAGGTTCCGAGGCAACTGTATGCAAGGCTAGAACCCAGTTAGTGAAGGGGATATGGCACCAAATGGAATAGAAGCAGCATGCAAGAGCAGATTATATAGGAGCCCCAGGTATGGTATATAACCTGAATGTTGATATACATTCATACACACATAACACACCTACCTGGTTAGCTAATCTAACCATTAGATTACAAACTCTCCATTAAATTTAATTAATCAACCTAAATAACTGCAGAGGAAGGTTATAGGTGGTTTTAGTTAGGGGCAGGCTGAGGGCTTAAAAAAAAAAACAAAAAACAGTAGGGAGCTGCCTTTCTTACCAAGGGCTGTCCCTTTGAGGATAAGAGGTGGCAGCTATGGAAGGAGAGGGGGCGGGCCTCATCCTTGCAAGTCCAGGCACACCATGGCTTCTCTGGACACCAAGTCAGGTCAGAACTTTGAAGACCTGCTCAGTCAAGCAGACCCTCAAGAAAATTACGATTTGGGGCAATGAAATTTGGAGCCTGGAATTTGTTACTTCTAATTTGGCAGATCCACCTGCAAAGAAAAAACACTTCTGTATAACATGTGTGTAGTGGCTGTGCCTGTATCTCTCTAATTACCCCCCTTCTCCATCCCCCTGCCTAATAGGACATGTATTTTCCTAAATATTATCCAAATGCTTTCCAAACAGACTGCAGACTGCCCTCCCTAGACCCTACCAGTTATAGATTCTGGAGGTGTCACTGGATTTGGGTACTTCAGTTTTTTAATACATACTCTTTTTTTTTTTTTCTTAACACATACTACAGACTAATAATAGTATTACGTGGTCTTATCCTGCTCTCCGTCAGGTTTTTCTTTAAAGGGATGGTGGCATCATTGGAAACGATATCCTTTAAAAGACACGGTTGAAACAGGAGAGAGAACTTTCACAGACCCCACCTGTAATTCTCAGTAACTTAGCCTAGGTCCCGCGTCTGGGGAATCCTGCCAGGTCCTGGGCAGTCTAGCCCCAGGCGACAACGCCGGGACTACAACTCCCAGGAGACACTGCGTCCACACCCTCTGCGCACGCTCCGTCTCAGTGACAGCATAGGGCACCGAGCCCAAGGGGGCGGGGCCGGGGCCGGAGCCGCGGAGGGGGCGGGGCCGGGGCGGGGCCGCGGAGGGGGCGGTGCTGCCGGCGCGGCCCGGAACACGCTAGTGGAGCGGAAGATGGCGGCGGCAGCGGCGGCTGCAGCCGGGACCCGGGTCGGGCTGAGGCGGAGGAGCCGCAGGCTCTGACCTCGCTCTGGCTCCTGTGCGCGCGGTGGAGCGTGTGCGAGGCCCCGCGCGGCGGGCGGGGGCGGCGGCGGCGACTGCGCGCCGCCCTGAGGAGCGTCCCGGCGGCGGCGGCGCGGCGGCGGAGGAGCGAGCCGGCCCGGGGCCTCCGCGTCCTCCTGCGCCGCGGGCCCCCCGCCTCCTCGGGGGGGCGGCGGCCGCGATGTTCTCGGTCCTCTCGTACGGGCGGCTGGTGGCCCGCGCCGTGCTCGGCGGCCTCTCGCAGACCGACCCGCGGGCCGGCGGCGGCGGCGGCGGCGACTACGGGCTGGTGACGGCCGGCTGCGGCTTCGGCAAGGACTTCCGCAAGGGCCTCCTCAAGAAGGGCGCGTGCTACGGGGACGACGCGTGCTTCGTGGCGCGGCACCGCTCGGCCGACGTGCTCGGTGAGGCCCGCGCCCCCCGCCCCGGCCCCCGCCCCCGGCCGCCCCCGGGACTCCGCGCGGGCTCCGGCTCCGGCTCCGGGCGCCGCCAGGGTGGCCCGAGCGGGGCGGCTCACTCTGCGGGCGGCCGCTGCCTCCACCGCCCCGTCGCGGCGCCGGGAGCCGGGGCGCGGGGCGGCCGAGCACGTGCCCAAGGTCACCGCCCGAGCCCCGGGCCGCCCGCGCGGCCGCTCGGCGGTGCCCGCCCCGGGCGCCCTCGTCCCTCCCCCCGCGACACCTGCAGGCTCCCGACCGCGCGCGGGCCCCCGCCCCCCGCCCCGCGCGCGGGCCCCCGCCCCCCGCCCCGCGCGCGGGCATCCCTGAGCCGCGCGTGCTCCCCGGCCGCGGGGTCCCCGGCGCCCAGACCGTCGGGAGCCCCGCGCGGCCCCGCCGCGCGCTGTCGCCGGCCCGCGGGTGACCGGATCGCCGTCCTTGCCCGAGGCCCGCGGCGGGGCCGCCGGCCGGGACGAAACCCGCGCTGTGCGTGGTCCCGGCCGGATCGTGCCCCTTAAGGTCACTCGGGGTGGGAGAGTCTCCTTGACCCCAAATGGAATGGTCGAGACTGCAGTCAAGAAAGCGGTTTGGAGTCTTTTCAGGCCACAGGTGCTCCCTAAGGACTGTTCCGTTTACTCTTGTGCGAATGTAGAAAAGGCTGTGACTCGAGCAGCCAGTTGCTGTGCCCTAGGATGGTTGCCATTAGGTCTCAGTCAGTAAAGCGCTGTCTTTGAAGGACATGCTGTCATTGAACTTGGGTTCAGATGTCACTTTGGTTTCCTTTCTCTGGTGGATTGAGTTCCTGATTACGTTAAGTTTCATATGCAGAGGCCAAGTTTGGCACTGGAACAAATAGCCCTGTAACTTTTTATGACAATAATTATTTCTTAATTTGATCTCAGAATAACTGCCTATTATCTTTGCTTCTACTACATGTAGTGTTTGTGAACATGGGACCGGAAAGGTGGTCCTCAGTTTAATTTACAAGTGACCCATTACCTGGGCTTAAAAAAGATGATTGAGTGTTCAGGCAACAGTATCGATGCACATTTGAGAGACACATTCACTCCTTGGAAGGTGGAGGAGCTTGCAGATGAAAATCATACAAATCCGCTCTGAAGTCAGCTTGACCCTGACTCAGTATCCTCTTTAAAGGACTGTCAGTGGCTATCATTTGTCATTGCATTTAGGAACTCTTCTCTCAATGAACTTGTAATCTGTGCTGCTTTTTCAAGTTGCAGTCACGGTGCAACAGGATAGGGCTCATAAGCTGATGGGGTTCCCCCTTGTAAATTTGCTATATGCTGGCTTTTGTGAAATATTTGTGAATTGGTGGATCATTTGGCAATTATTTTAGGTCCAAGCTTAATTTAAAAATTTTTGAAGACTACCTTATTAGTGAAGGAAGGTATTTAAAATTATGGAGAGGGCCTCCCCGGTGGCGCAGCGGTTGAGCGCTGGGTTGCGAAGCTGCCCGCGGCCTCTGCCGCGCCGGTTTGATCCCCGGCTGCTCCCCGGCCACCAGAGGAGGGTCCCACATGGCGCGCAGACCTCTCCTGCCGCCCGCTGCTCCCCTCAGCGGTGTACTTCGGTCCTTCTGCCTGCTCTGCTCCCCGCTCTGGCTCTGGTGAATTCTCTCACCCTCCCGCGCTTCTGACTGTACCCAGTGCATGTATAAACAAACAAACAAACAAAACAAACAAATAAATAAATAAATAAAAACATGCCTCTATTAAAAAAAAAATTATTAAAAAAAAAAAAATAAAATAAAATTATGGAGGGATTTGGTCAAACCCCTTTTGAAAAATGTATAAAAACATACCATCCTGTCAGAAACTTGCCCAAATTTGAGGCTCAGCTTTGGCACTTGCTAACACTGATTTGTGGTTTTAGGTACAGTCTTCTTAGATGATTTTCTTCATCTAGACTAGAGGACAAAGGCAGAGGACTACCTGACCCTCCAGGACTTCTGCCCATCAGATCTTATCTTCCTTTTGTTTCAAAAAGACAACATCCTTTGTTATTTTGCACTTTAAATAATAGGTATTACTTCCCTTGTTACTCACTTGGACGTTAAATAGATTTCTTCAGTTTTATATCTGGTGCTATAACGGTGGTTCTTAATTTTCTTTGATTAACACATACTTCTGTGATTCACACACTGCCCAGGGCGCTCGCCCCAGAAAAACATGCGTAGAGACAAAATTTTGCAAGGGCTCTTAGGGATTTCACTGACCCTATGAGGTCCATCTATGTACCAGCTAGAGGTCCATGCACAGCCCATAAATTAAGAACCAGCTGTATACCCTTCCTCAAAGGATTGCTGCTAGGCACAGACAGATGGTAGCTTACATGTCCTAGTGGTGGTCTGACAGAGAGAGAGACAGAAAGAGACAGAGACTCTGTGTGTGTGTGTGTGTGTGTGTGTGTGTGTTTTGCAAGTGGGGGAAAGACATTAAGGGATAGGTTTTCTAGGACTTCTGTTCTGAAGGACTTCTCTAGGACTTCTCTTCTAGAAAACCTTCTTGGAAGATACATGAAATAGCTTCTGAGTTGGCCTCATTTGATCTGTGGCTGCCACATAGCAGTCCATATGATGACTACTTCTACTTTTTTGACACCATCCCATCCCACAGCAAGATTATCTTCTTGCTGTGAAAGAGGTGATGAGTCTCAGTCAGCCTTTAATATTGCTTTCTGCTCTGGAAGTTGCACTTGTAAATTGCATTGCATTAAAAGGCTATGTTGCACCTCAGTGTTGTAAACCTGATATTTTTATTGATAATACATTTTCTTTGGGTTGACATCTTGTTTATTACTGAGTATCTGTGCAACTCATTGCAGTCATCTAGGACTCTTTGTTTGGAATGAAAGCTGTTTATTTCGTGTGAGAAATTAAAAAAAACACTTTCTTTGATTTAGAAGTGAACTGTTAGTCATGGAATGACTGAAAGTACTTGGTGCTTTACAGCATTTCTGAAATCCCCACTGGATTTCTTTTAGGAAAAATCAACTATGGTGGGTGTGGTGAGACACAGGAACCGCTCCTATCCCCTGGAAAATTGGCAAAGGTGCTTTCTCTTTATTAGGTCCAACAGGAGTAAGCCAGCACAAGCTGGAGCTGTGTGTACATTTCTTCCTTCTTCCCTGTGGCTAATCCGGTCTTTCATTCCTCTGTATGGCACCAAAGCCTAGGTACGCAAAAATATGAGAGCCTCCTAGTGTGAATGACTGGGCCTCCCAGAGCCCTAACCTACTTAACAATAGACTCAGACACCACTGAGAGTCGTAAAACTTAGAGGAAACCTTGGAGTCCAGTTCTTTCATTTTCTGGTGAGAAACTGAGGCCTACAGAGAGTCAACTGACTTCCTTCAGGTTATTCTGCTAGTTAATGGCAGAACGGGGACTAGTACCTAGACCCCACATTTCAGTCCTCTTTCCATCATACCACTGGTTACATTTTCTTGACAAGATAGATCCAAACCAGCCTGTCTCTGGTACTGTTTGTCCTAATGCTGTCCCTGCTTCAGGGTGTGTATGTGTTATGTGCATGTGTGTGTGTGTTTTTTTTTTTTTACAACTTCTTTATTCACTCTGACTCATAATAAAATGCAACAGAAACTCCTCTGCATTCTAAACCACAGTTTACTGAAACCACTTTAAAAATGGTAGTGTGGTCTATGCCAAGTAAATTCTGGCCTCTGAATAGAGTTGTAGAGTAATTCTTATAAAGCTGTGAGATGTTATTATTTACATTTGATTTAACTTGAAAACTAAAAAAATGAAAACAATATCACTTGCTAGCCTTTGGATCTGATTTTGATTATGGTCAGGATTTTGGGGTGTTTTGTGAGTAATGTCAGCCTTAAAGGTAGTTGTCTTAAGCTACAAGGATTACAGGAACAATATCAAGATCTGAATATTATTTAGAAAGTGACTAGGCTAGGTAGAATTTAATATTGTCAGTCATGGTAATTTCAGTGTGTTTGGTAGAATCTCTAGATATCTGAAAATGAGTTGTCTTTTTAACAAAGCAGTCACCTTGGGAGAGTGTATCAGCGCTTATTTCAGCCTTTATGAAGTCCTCTTTGGAATTTCCCTCAGCTAGATAATTGTAAACCATGTCAGGAAATCAGTTTTATTGTTATATAGTCATAATTTTCTGGAAGTCAAAATTCTGCCTGATCTACCTGTGGGCAACAGACATGATTTTTTTTTTTTTAAAGGATTTATTTATTTATTTATATAAGCACTGGGTACAGTCAGAAGCACGGGAGGGTGAGAGAATTTATCAGAGCCAGAGGGGAGAGCAGAGCAGGCAGAGTGATGAAATACACTGCTGAGGGAAGCAGCGGGCGGCAGGAGAGGGCTGCTCGCCATGCGGGACCCTCGCCTGGTGGCTGGGGATCGAACTGGCGCTGCAGAGGCTGCAGGCAACCTCGCAACCCAGCGCTCAACCGCTGCGCCACCAGGGAGGCCCAACAGACATGATCTTGATTGAATTATAAAAATTGGGAGATATCATTTACTTGCCATAAAATTCACCATTTAGTGTGAAAAATTCACTGGTTTTTAGTATACAAAGTTGTGCAATGACCATCACTAACTATATAGTTCCAGAACATTTCCATCACCCCAAAAGAAATACCCTTTGCCATGTTCTTGTCCCTCCCCCTAATCTCTGGTAACAGAAAGTAGTCTCTGTAGATTTGTCACAGCATTCTGGACATTTCATATAAACGGAATCATATACTATGTGGTCTTTTGTGACTTTTTTTTTCATTTACCCACATTGCAGCATGTATTAGAACTTCATTCCATCTTATGGCTGAATTATATTCCACTTCATGCATTCACCACATTTTTTTCATCCATTTATCTATTAGTGGACATTGGGTCATTTCTACTTTTTGACTGTTAATAGTGTGGCTATGATATTTGTGTACAAGGTTTGTGTGAACATGTACAC